GTTAGGTCGTATTCCAAGTCAAAACGTCGCATAATTGGTCCTTACAAAATAAAGAAAAAAAAGCAACAATGCTTATGTTCTCAAGCTTCCATAAAAAATACACACTTCAGCTACCTTTTAATGTCGACGATCTGTTCGCCTATCGCCCGCCAAACACCACCTTGAAGATTGAAGAAGAAGACAGCCCAGTTGAATCGATTGACGACACTGACATTACCTCACTGTACGTACGTCATGCACATGAGAACCACCACGGACGAAGAAGATACAGCACTGGAGGAGTCAGAACACGAGGATGCATTTTTTTTCTTTGGTAGGAGACAATCTCATACATGATTTTTATGAAATCTAGGTTTGAGTTACTTTAGTCAACTTAGTTATTTGGGTGTTAGTTTATTTTCTAGAATTGTGCCTCACTGAATTGGATCTTTTCTTCAACATATGTATTTAGTTTTATTATTATTTATTTATTGCCCATTGATCACTTGAGAAGAAATATTACATAACGTCAAGCCATCATCACTAGCTTAACCTAGACCTATTGGCTTTTCATCCCATTCATTTTCTCTTGTTTTTCTACATTGAAAGGGATCCTTCACGCCCAAAACACATAGATTTGTATGGACTCCTCTGGGACGTTATATATTAGATATGTTTTTTTTTTTTAAATCTAGTCTTTATCTTAAACAACTCTCTAAAATTCCTCCGAGCCCAAAGTATAATACTAAAGCTAAGACATATCTAGAAGTTTTTGATATTTGTTTGCAATCCCCGAGATATATTTCTAGCTTCTAGATATATAGAGTGTTGTATTTTATTTTAGTAGTACATAAAATTTGGACGCCCAATAAATAAGGAATATCTTGTAAGTCATGCATAACAAAATGTTGAATAACCTAATGAACAACAAGGAGACTTGACCTACTAATAAGTATATCATCAACATACAAGTAGAATAACAATTTAATGAGAGTGGTGTTGAATATAAAAGTGAAGTATCTGATTTGAGTTGAAGAGATTGTCTTTAATAAAAGGTGAGTTAGCAACGCTAGTGGTAACTCCATGATTTTCATTCAAGACATTATATATGCATAGAAATGTAGCAACAAAAAAATTGTAAATTAAAGAATTCCGAATACTAATTTAATAAATTACAAATTGCCCTCAGCAGGTTTTTCATGTTCTGAAAATCGCTATATCATAACTTCATAATTTAATTTATCCAATAAATACTTCTTAGTATATGCTATGATAAAATCAATTTATTATTTGATCTTCCATTCAATAACAAAGTTGATAGGACACACGGATAAAAAAGAAAGAAAAAAGGTTGATAAAGTCAAATTTTGGAATTAGTAATTAGAGATATTTTTTAGAATTATTTTTAGTACATCTTTCTTCTGTAGGAGTTGAATTGAAGAAGAGGAGAAAAATAGCGAATTGAGAAGAAAAGTGAGCCAAAATTCCAACACGTTGGGCGTCTAGGTTCTACAAAGTTGAAGCCTAACTTTTCCAAATGCAAGCATTTGGGCGTCTGGGCACTGTGAACATAATTTGTTTAAATACTTCATTTTAGCCCTAAGCCACAAAGAAGGAGAAAAGAGGGGGATTTTAGACCGAAAGATGTTTTAGAGAGAAAAGTTGGAGATTTTAAGAAATACGGAAGAATGCGAAGAACGGAAACTCGAGACATCGCCATATTTGTTTTCTTCCTCCTCTTCTAATTAATTTCTCTTTTTCTTGCTTGAACCTCCTTCAATGTCGTTGATTAAGATTTTTTTTTTGGATTCGAGTATGAGCTAAATAGTTGTTTCTACAGCATGATGCAATTGTTTATGTAACTTTATTTTTTCATTTTTAGACGATTTCTCTTCTAAATTTCTATTAGGTGTGAGAACTTTTCTACTTTTAATTCATTGTTTAGATTTGATCAATTTTTACATTGATCATTTGTCATAAATAATACCGAGAAACAATATTATTGATTTATGCTTTGAATAATTCTCTCTAATTAAGCAAGAGACAGAGATATACGTGTAAATTTTGTGGCACGTTGTTGGGTTCTACATGCTTAATTATTTGAATTGTAGCGTAGTCATAGAGATATAGATACCCTACTTTTCGAAGAAAATCGTTATTGCTTGAGAAAGAATATCGAGTCAATATGGTAAAATTCGCCAACAACCTTCGTTTAGAAAAATTTCGATAAAAATTGTAGGAAAAGTTGAAGGACAATATCCGTGAAGTCATGCTCTAGAGTTTAAGCTGCTTGAATTTACTCTTGTTTATTGATAATGGTGTTGTTTTATTCTTTAATTTAATTAATCTTAGAATTTATTTCTTTACTTACAGTTTCATTAAACTTTCCATGTTCAAATAAAATCTAAGTATAGAAGTTGGTAATTAGTAAATATTCATTTCCCCATGGAGACGATACTCTAATTACTTTTGATGATTTGTATACTTGTGAATCGAACAACAACAGTCGAGTCTTTACAATACTCATGGCTAAAAATATCATCTCTATCGAATCTGTTGCACCAAGTAAAATATAAATGTCAATATCATGAGCAATTGGTGAACTAATGGATAGTTTTTATCTTTGTTCATCGTGATCCTTCTTACTACAATATCACAGAAGTTTGTTATTTCAAAAAAATAGAAAAAGTGAGTATGCAACATCAATATTGTAGTTTTGAAGTTGATCCTTAAGCATGTAGAGAGTTCAATAGTCAAAAAGCTTTTTGATCGTAAGGTCTCTTGAAATTGCATATCAACGACAATGTATAAAAAAACTCTAACACGAGAATGATGCATTTTTGTAGATGGTAATTGAGATTTTTGACTCATCTTTCTCGTCTCAAAAACATATCATCTATCTAAAGAATTTCAATATCGTGCTTATAACAAATTTTAGAAATTTGAACTAGTAATGAATCCCAACTATATTCTGTCATTGTTTGTCGTCTTTCTTAACAAACTCTAACTAAATTTATTTGAACTAATGATGCAATAAATTTGTTTGCTGTGTCTACGCTTAAACAGATGAAACGTGTCCCGTTCAATAGTTTCAATGCTTAGAAGACTCAAGGCATGAGTCTAGCGTAAGCTTCCAAATAGTGGTGTCTATTAGGCTGGTTGTGTTCGCTGTCAGATATCCAATCACAAGCGGCAATATCTTCACATTCAGTTCAATTGCCTGGAGCAGAGATGAGTACAATTGGATCGTACCATGTTTCTCCTTTAGAAAACGGATGTGTGTCATGAGTAGTGGTGCTGCTAGTCTTCAATTATTTTTTTTTTGAAAAAAAAATGAAATAAATCTCTCTCTTCTACTCGTAAAAAAAATTTAATGGTATTTGGTAGAAGATTTCTACCTGACAGTAAGTAACATATCAGGGATTTGAATCCCTTCTGTTCTCAAAATTCGACGCGAACGTAAAAATTTCTACTTAGGAATCTCTTCTGTTCTTGTAAATTTTTGGTGGGAGTTGGCTGATTCTCATAGGCGTTAGCATTGGATGAGCTGGGACAAATTGTATTTGCCTAAGGAGGTTGGAGGCTTGAATGTTAGGGATTTGGAGGGCTTTAACCAAGCTCTTTTGCCAAGCAAGTGTGGAGATTGTTATGCTCTCTTAATCTCCTTTGTCTTAAAAGGTCTTAAAGGGTAGATATTTTCCTAACGTGGATCTTTTGGTTGCAGAGGCAGATAAGATAGCACCATAATTCTAGCCTAATTTATGTTTTCTTGAGAAGTTTCAATTTAATCTCTATAATTCTAGTTTAAGTTCAGTTTCTTTCTTTGTTTCAATTTGGTTAAGTTAAATCTTACCATTATTATATTCAGTCCAATTACCTGTAACAACGATTACTATAATTGGATCGTGCAATGTTTCTCCCTTCCAAATCCAACTATGTGTCATACGTAACGGTGCTAAGTCTTCAATTATTTATTTATTTTTTGTTTGAAAAAAAGGGAACAAATTTTTCTATCCTACTTGTCAAAAAAATTTAATGATATTTTGTTGGAGATTTTTATTGACACTTCCATAGACGATTACATTGACCTTCCAATGGAGAAGTATTTTTCATTAAAGAAAATACATCATATACAAAATTTAAATTCCCATATGACCATACGTTTCACATCAATATAATAATTAACTGATATTTTTATCAAAATATCTCTAATATGAAAATAAATAAATAAAAAGATTAAAATGTTAATTTATTAATTTACATTTTTTTAAAAAAATTAGGTTACAAAATTAATATTTACGATTTTTTTTAGTTTAATATAGTCTCTTGTAATTAAGATTTTAAATGTCTACGTTGATGAAATGAAAGTTTTAAATGTCTATATCAGTGGAAATGTTGAAGTCTTAGTTTCATAAAAATGTAGATGAAAATATCAAAAAAATATCTATGTCAATTGATATTTTTGGAAATGTTATAAAAATAAAAAATTTATAAAAAAATATTTAAATTAAAAGATAAGTAATATCAATGGAAATGTCGAATTACTAATTTCATAGAAATGTTGAAATCTTAATTTCATAAAAAAATCGATGAAAATATTGATGTCGATGGATATTTTTGGAAACATAATTAAAAATATTCATAAAAGATATTTAAACGACTAAATAAGTATTTCATCTTTTTCAAAATAAATTTAAAATATCAATATTAATAATTTTGATGTATTTTATTTTGTGCTTGTAATTTAAACTTAATTTCATTTTCTTTCTAATAGTTAATCTCACCATTTTAAGGAATCAAGGAGCAGAAAATAGATAGAAAAATTAAACAGAAAAAAGATATAATAAATGGCGTCGCCCGGATTCGAACCGGAGACCTTCAGTGTGTTAGACTGACGTGATAACCAACTACACCACGACACCAGATGACAAACAAGCGGTGCAATTTAATTTAAGCTCTCAAGTTTTTATACCGTCTTTGAAAACGGTCTGTAGATTAGCTTCAGTGGCATTCCTCTCGGGGCTCAGCTGCAGAATGATGGTTGATTCTGCGTCCCTCCATCTTCAGAGCCGCTTCTGGCTCTCACACTCAAAACCCAAATCCCTTCTTCTCCCAAAATCGTACACTGCTTTCTACAAACTCCACTCACCATCCAATCCCAATTCAACAAAATTCCTCTCACCCCACTTCTGTTTATCGCTTGTTCATGCCCCTCCGCGAATCGGGTTCCATGTTTTTGCACAGAAGAAGCCAGGGAGAGGCGTCGCTCAACCCACTGACTCCGACATTGAGTTTGATGAATTCTTCGATGAGGAGGAGGAGGTGCTCCTGCCGTTGAAGAAGATGAAGGAGTGGCTTGCGGGACGGCCTCGTGGGTTCGGAGAAGGGAAGGAGTACGATACCTCCATTGAAGACAAATTGCTGCAAGAATTGGAGCAGAGTAGGGCAGCTCAGGCTGCTAATATCAATAAGCTCAAGAACCAGTCTTCCGAGTCCAATTCTAGTAAGAGTGTTGCAGAGGTAAAAGGTCAGTCTCTATCCCTCCCAATTTATAAGTCTCTGTTCTGTGTCTTTATGTTTGTAGTATCTTATCCTATGTTCCATGCTTAATTGCCAACTAGGGTCATTCTTTTAAGTAATAGAATTGGGCTAGAGAAGCGACTCACACTTGGTCAAATGATTGTAAAATTCTTTATTTTGGGATAAGAGATGGCAGACGGGTATATTAACACAAAATAATGGAAAGTACAGCATAGGGGCCGGGGCGGAGGGAACCCCTCCTGAAAAGAATAAGAAATTCAAGCCTTCCGAATAAGAGATTCAAGTCTTCCAATTCGAAATCATAAGTAGACTGTAATTACAGAAGAGTTTCTTATGATTTGAACACCACTAGGAAGAAGCATGTTGTACATTGTTCCAAATGATATCATCTCTCTCTTTTTTTTTTATAACTGGGAGTTGGAGCTTTGCTCCCTTATACCCAGGGGCAGTTGCACCCATCCTAAGACCCGAACCCGAGAGACATCAAGAGTTTTTCGTATTAAGCTTACTAGAAGGTTCGAACTTGAGACCTCTAAACCAAGAGACTCCAAGCCCTTGTCAACTGGGATGCCCTAGAATGCATTCCAAATAATATCATCTTAAAAAGAGAAACAAATAATTTAGAAGGGATTTTGTGTCACGCAAACAATAATATAATTCAGTATAGAAAAGATTATTAATTAAGTAAATAAGAGTTAGAATTCGAAGCTTAAAGTTCTAGATTCTCTTGAAGTGGATGGGCCCCTTTCTTAGGAGTAGTTGGAGGATCGGCGTTGTTTGAAAGCTCAGTTTGGGGAGGTGATTAGAAAGGAAGATCAGAAGTGGAGACAGAAAGCGAAATTCAAATGGGCTAAGGGGATTGTAATTCCAAGTTTTTCCATAATTTGGCTAATGGTAGAAGGAACAAAAATCTCATCTCTTCGTTGGTCTCTGAGGATGGGGTGGTGTTGCGTGAGGATCAAAAGATTGAGAAGGAAGTGATTTCTTTTTTCAAACAGCTTTACAGCCCCATACCTTGTCCTAGGCCTTTTTTGGAAGGTTTGGATTGGAGTCCCATTTTTATTGTTGAGAAAGACAGTTTGGAAGCCCCCTTTTCTCTGGAAGAAGTTCGTCGGGTGGTGTTTGGGTTTGATAGAAATAAATCCCCTGGCCCAGATGGCTTTTCTATGGCCTTCTATCAAGATAATTGGGATGGTATTAATGAGGACTTGTTGAGAGTGTTTCGGGAGTTCTTTGAGAGGGGTGTGATTGATGCCTCCATGAACGAGACTTACGTGTGTCTGATCCCAAAAAAGAAGGATGCGGTTAAAGTGAAAGAATTTAGACCTATCAGCTTGACAACGAGCCTCTACAAAATTATTGCAAAAACTCTCGCAGATAGGCTAAGAAAGGTCATGCCTTCTACTATTTCTGAGACGCAATGGGCTTTTGTTGTTGGTAGGCAAATTTTGGATCAAGTTTTGATAGCTAATGAGGCGATTGAGGATTACAGGAAAAACAAGAAGGAGGGTGTGGTTTTTAAGATCAATTTCGAAAATGCGTATGATCATGTGGATTGGAACTTTTTAGATAAGATTATGTGTAAGAAAGGTTTTGTGTGTAAGAAAGGTTTTGTTTATAAATGGAGGGCTCGGATGTGGAGTTGTATTAGAACTGTTAATTACTCTATCCTGGTGAATGGGAGACCTAGGGGAAAAATCTTGGCTTCTAGAGGCCTTCGTCAAGGGGATCCCTTGTCTCCTCTCCTGTTTATTTTGGTAGTGGATATTCTTAGCAGGTTAGTCTCCATTGGGGTCGAGAAAGGGAGTTTGGAAGCTTTTGAAGTGGGTAGGGAGAAAGTGACCCTCTCTCACCTTCAATTTGCAGACGTAGACGATACATTTTTTTTTGCTCTGGTAAGGACAGTGCTTTCAAGAATCTTAATTGCCTCCGTGGTTGTTTTTGAAGCTCTTCCTGGCCTTAAGATCAATAGAGGCAAAAGCTCATTATTGGGGGTGAATTGTGAAGTGGGTAAGCTCAGGGAATGGGCTTCCCTGGTTGGGTGTGAAGTTGGCGAGTTTCCCTCCTCCTATCTCGATCTTCCTTTAGGTAATAATCCTAGGAGTATGTCCTTCTGGATGCCGGTGAGTGAAAACACTAGGGCCGTTATGCTCATTACTAAACTTGTTGAAGAGATGAAATATAACCAAGGTATATCTTTTTGATCAGAAGTTGAATCGATCATCAGAAGAAGAATTAGGCCAAAAATTAGGATACATTCTGGGAAAATAAAACTTCAATCGAAGAGAAGCAAATGAAAGGCTTTCATAAAAATTCTCGTAGAATCGAGAATGAAGTTTTCATTCTGTACATGCCATATCATGAATTAGTAACTGCATCCAATCTAAAAAAAAAATCCCAATTGTTTCGAACTCTCTCTTTTTGGAAAAATTGCAGAAACGCCTGTCTTCTTGGAAGAAAGCGTACTTCTCTAAAGGAGGGAGACTTACGTTAATACAATCTGTTTGAGGGGAATTCCGTCTTATTTCATGTCTCTTTTTAAAGCCCCGGTGGCTGCATGAGGGATTTTCTTTGGGAGGGAGTGGAGGAGGGGGGTGGAGCCCATCTCATCAGTTGGAAAGTGGTTTCGAAGCTTTTAGATGTAGGGGGTTTGGGCATTGGAAACTTGAGGCTTAGGAATGAGGCTTTTCTAGCTAAATGGTTATGGCGCTTCTTCTATGAGCCTAGGGCCTTGTGGCAAAGGATTATCGTGAGTAAATACGGCCCTCACCCGTTTGATTGGGTCTTGGCAGGTGGTTCTAAGGTGAGCAATAACAATCCCTGGAAGGCTATCGCTTCGTGTTTCCCCGTTTTTTCTCAGTCTCTTCGTTCTATTGTGGGGGATGGTCAAAATACTTATTTTTGGGAGGATTTGTGGGTTGGGGATAAACCTCTGTGACTTGCTTTCCCTCGACTTTATTTTCTTTCTGGAAATAGGCTTCTTTCGGTGGTCGAGATTTTGAACCCTATGGGGGAGGCTCCTTCCATTTCGTTGGGTCTCTCTCGAGTCTCGCCCCTTGACGGATCGGGAGTCTTTAGAGGCTTCCGATTTACTGGTTTTGTTGTCAGAGGTGTCTTTACTTTTTGGGGGGAGGATGTGAGAGTGTGGTCCCTCAACCCCTTGAAAGGCTTTTCTTGTAATTCTTATTTCAATACCTTGATTTCCCCTTCTTCTTCTTCCCCTTCATCCCGTTGGTTTAACTCTCTTTGGAAGATTAAGATTCCGAAGATGATTAAATTCTTCTTGGCAAATTTTACTTGGGAAAGTCAATACTTTAGATCGTATCAAGGAGATGTCCTCCTTTTGCCTGGGCCCACAGTGGTGCGTTCTCTGCAGGAATGCTTATGAAGATTTGGAGCATTTGTTATGGAATTGCCAGTTTGCTCAGGATGTATGGATCCGGTTCCTTAATTGCTTTGGCTTGTCTTGGGTCTGTTCCAGAGATTGTAGGGGGATGATGGAGGAGGTGTTGTTACACCCCCTTTTCGAGACCGAGGTCGTTTTTTGTGGCAGACCTGTTTTTTGGCTTCTCTTTGGGGTATTTAGTTAGAGAGAAATAATAGGCTGTTTAGGGGGGTGGAGAGATCTGCTGACTATGTTTGGGATCTTCTTAGATTGAATACTTCTTTATGGGATTCAGTTTCTAAGGCTTTTTGTAATTATCCGTTAGACTTCATTCTTTTGGATTGGAGTCCGTTTCTTTAATGGTTTCCTTCTCTCTGGGCTGTTTTTTGTAGGCCCCCTTTGTACTTCTTGTATCTTTTTTCATTTTTCTCAATGAAAGGGTGGTTTCTTATAAAAAAAAAAAAAGAAGTTAGAATTCTCTTTTTTGGGTTGAGACATGCATCTAAGTGTGTCTTGAGAGAAGATGAGCCCAATGCGTAGAGTTAATTGATACTCTTCTCTCAGATACAACCCTTTGAGGAAAGACCTTTGGTTTTTCTGTAGAATAGGACAGTGGTTTTGATCTCTTTAATCACTTTGATCGAGTAAATGAGATCTTCCGCTCCAATAGTTTTAGTACATCACCCCATGTTAAAGAATTATTATCAAACCCAAGATGATATTTTCTCCAATTAATTATTCCATACTTAATACTTTTGTCAATATCTATTCATTAAAGAAATGGGTTCAATGACATCCCAGAAAAATTATACAAACATCTCCATGATTATTCATTATGATTATCATTAGAATGCTATGGTTTGGGTGTTGCTGAGGAACTTGACCATTTGGGGGGCTGTGATTATGCTTTTTGGGTTTGGAGTTGTTTCTTTCAGATGTTTGGTTTTCACATAGCTTAGCCTAGAGGGTGTATCTCTTTGGTTGAGGAGCTCCTTCATCTGCCCTCTCATCATTAGGGGCGCTTCTTGTGGCTGGCCGGGATCTGCGCGATTCTGTGGGGCCTGTATTGAGAGCAACAATACAATTTTTAGAGAGGTTGAGAGGACTAAGGAGGAGGTGTAGTCCCTTGTTAGGTTCTATGTTTCTCTTTAGGCCTTTGTGGTTAAAGGCTTTTTGTAATTACCCTTTAGGTCTCATTGTGCTTGATTGGAACCCTTTTTTGTTTTAGCTTGGCTCCTTTTGTCGTGGCTTTCTTTTAGCTTAGTTGTCCATAAACCAAAAAAAAAAAAAAGGGAAGACGACCATAGCATTCTTAATTAATACATCGTACCTTCTTCTCACTTCTACACATGAAACATAGCCCTATTTATCAAGTAGGATGGTAGTGCCAATGGTAAAAAAGGAATGAAATGAAGCTAATTACATGCTAGTAAGTCTAGAAGGAAAGTTACTATCTAATGGAAGTCAAATAAATTGTAAATAGGCTGAGACCATTTCCTGTAATGCACCAACAGTATGGGGATCAACTATTCCCTTCAAGCTGGGGTTGTAGAGTTTGATCAACCCTAGTCTGGTCTTTAAATCTTCAAACTTTAGTCGAGGAAGTTAGCAAGGATATCAACAGACAAGTTTTATAGATGCACTGAAAAGAGATCGTCTTGTCTTTAATTTTTTCTTGGATGAAGCACTCGGTGATTTCAAGATGCTTTGTACAGTGTCATAGTGTCGGAAAGAAATGAGTCTACCAACTAATATTTGGTGTCTATTGTTGTCAACAAGAGCACTATTACTATGAATTTCTGGTGGCAATGATGTCATCAACATAGAAATAATAATGAAAACTTTTCTTTTGGGTGAATGTTGGCAGATAAGGTAGAGTAAGCTTGGGATACCCATTCCTTGTTACTACTTTTGTAAATCTCTCCAACCATGCTCTGGGATTGTCAAATCCATTGTTCAATTCCATCTCAATTGTATTTTACTTTTAAAATCCATTTACATTCAACGACTTGTTTACCTGTGAAAAGTTTAGTTATCTCCCAAGTGTTATTCTTTTTTGAGGCCTAAACTTTTCCAAAACGGTAGTTTTCAATTGCGGAATTTCAATTGTGGAATTTTCAAAGCTTCATAAATGTTATTTGCAAATTTTAATTTTGGACGAGCTGGAAGGAAGGCATGAAAGTTAGAAGGTGATAAAAGATCCTTTGAACTAATAAATTGTAATAACTAAATAAGGAAATCACACCTCCCTCTAATGGAATGAATAGGATATTGCTCAATTCCATTTTGATATTCTAACAACTGTGAACTGCCCTGAATTAATCATCAAAGTTTGCTGTGAACGACTGCTACATGATTTACAATTTTAGAACCTCATAACAAAATACAGCATAACAAAACCATGGGTAAATCTTAAAGGGGAAAGAGATGAGAAGACGAATGAGAAAAGAGAGAAAATTATCATAGCTTGCAAAGATGGACCCTATTGAAACATATTCATCATCTTGTACTGTGAAAGTACCGTTTAAAGCAAAAGAAACAACTGAACTCAATAAGGAAACTAAATAGACTGAAAATAAGGCTATGGAAATCCTATTAGAATTAGATGTCTGATTAAAATTAAGTCCCGAGTCACTTACTTATGGAACCAGGAATCTTATATTCTTATTTAACTAAAAGAGTCTGAAAAACTTATTAATACAATAGAAATAAGAGCCTGAACCAGGAATGAATATTCTGTCATTCAAATTTGTTTTCCTTATCAATTTGATAGACCCCAAATTACTAGAGTGTATCTAAGCGTGTGAGGAAGAGAGAAACTGTTTGAGAGGGTGCTTTACGCACTGATAGGAGGGACCCACAGGGAATATTTGTTATATGTGTTAGTTACGTGCAAGGCCGGTGGGTTATATATTAGTGGGATGTGTAGCTATGAGGGTATCTTTTTGCTGTTTAGTCTTGGCTTGTATTCTCTGGTGAGAATTGGGAGAGGTAGGGAGCTCTCTAATCTCCCTTGGCTTGTCTAATAAATAAAATTGAGGCTTAGGCCTAACAGAATTCTAGTTTGATCTAACCCTGAGTATCATGCATTTCTTCAGCTTCAGATATTGGTAGTACTGGATTTGGTGTCCGCATTGTCAACCTTCCTAAAAAGAAGAACATCCACAGAGATCTGGTGGTGGCTTTTAAAGAGTTTCCTGGAATAATCAATATAGTTCCTGCAGTCGTTGGAAACAAGAAGACTAGGGATCCAATCTGCAAGGGTTTTGCATTTGTTGATTGCAAGTCCGAAGGAGACGCCATAAGGTATGTTTTTGGCTGAGAAGAAATTAATAGAACCGATAAAATTTAGTTGTAGTCTTTTCATAATCAAATTAGCTTCGGAATTCCAAACTTAATTAGTCAAAAAAAGGTAGCATAGCAGCAATAAAATCTGTGAAGTACATTTTTGCTGCAAAACCCTTGAAGCGGTGCTTAGAAAAGATCATGTGGTGGTGGTGGGAATTTGGTTCAGCTTCTAAAGGAACCTTTTGTAACCTATGGAAACCGAGCTCTATTTGCCTTCCACATTTTCATTCTTTCACCACCTCTAGGAGATGGCAGTAGAGTCCAGATTCTGGGAGGTACTTTGGCTTTGTTTTAAACCTCTTCCTTCACGGGTTCCCACTTCTTTGATAAAAAATTTTCAGTCTCCTTTTGTATCTTGTTCACAAGTTGGAAAAAATTCCTTTGTTGTATGGTTTAGTGGGCTCTCCTTGATCAAGACTAAGGAGTTGGTTTCTTGTGTATTTACTTCAATCATTGGTTTTGGTTCTTTCACCTAGGCATAGAGACCTGCGTTTATGGTCCCTTAAACTATTTAGATCCTTGTCTTGTAAGTTGTTTCTTCTTCGATTGGTTTCTTCCTTTTGCACGTTCTTTCTTCTCCTCGTGGAATTTCAAAATCCTAAAGAAATCCAGTTCTTTACATGATCACCTTTGGAAGTATTAATACATGACGTTTTTCATTAAGCCTCTTTGTTTCTTAAGTCCAAATTGGGTGTGTTCTAGAGTCATTTATCGTGCTTATGTCATTTTGCTGCCCAAGGCCATCTTTGGCAAGATTTTACTTAGACAAGGTCCCGAGGTTGAGTAATTGGAGGAGGTCGTTTAGGACCCTTCTTGGGGGAGGGGTCGTGTTCTTTAGTAGATTTGTTTTTTGAAGTTTTGTAGTTTATTTGGCTTGAAGCCTAGAAAGAAACAAGACATTGTTTTCGGGAGAGATAATTTTGATAGAACCCAAAGAACTAGAATAATATTGGAATATAAAAATATTAAAGGTTAAAAACTACACCGACCCCCAAGTAATTCGAGATATTGTACCCTCCCTCCCTACCTGCATTCTCCCTCCCTACCTGCATTCTGAGATCAGCACATCTTTACATGGTTTGGCACTCTGTTTATAAATAGTTTCAAGGTTTCAAATTAGACATGGCACAACCATTTATGCATCCACAGTCCTTGATAGCTTGGTAAAAAGAGTGACCTTCGTTTCTTCCACAGGTTTTTGCAAACATTTTCTGGACAATATCTGACGTTTGGAAGAGTACAGAAGCAAATAAAATGTGAGATGATCAATCGACGGACTTCCACTTCTGCTTGTGAAAGCTCAGTGGGCAGTACCAAGCATGCTCTACCAATTATTCCTGAATATGAAGCAGAGCAGGATGCTGACTTGGACAAGGATTTATCTGATGAAGTTATAAGAACAAGGGTGGAGGATATGGAAGAAAATCTGGTATCTGTCAGTGAATTACATTCGGATGATGAGGATAATGAGGATGCAGAATCAAGAACAGAGTCCAAAATTCGGTCACCATCCCGAAAGGAACTAGAGAGAATCCATGAACCAGAAGAAATTCTTCCTAATGGAAGAGAGGAAATTCATAGGGAAATTCCACCTATTAAAGGGAAAATAAAGGTTTCAAAGAAAAAGCAACCCAAGGAAAAAGGAGAGAAGAAATCATTGACAGAAATTCCAGGATCTGCAAAAAGGTAATGCTGCATCAAGTGATTGTTTAAAACATAACTTTACATTTTATGCTCTGAAAAATTAAGGTGGTCAATTTACTCCCAGTTTTAGCTCATTTTCGTCCCTATGCTCATAAAACAAGCATAAAATTTCAACATTCTTGTACTTCCAACTTTGGCCGTTCTAGTCCTTTAATTTTTGAAATGTCGGTTTTAGTTTTTATAATTTAAAAAAGGGGCTATTTTAGTCTCTTTATTTTCTTTTTATTTTAATTTTTTCGATTATAATTTCAGCACGACACTACACTTCATAAATTTTTTGAAAGGTAGCAATAACTTTGTATTAAATGATCTGTTTTATGTATAAAATTTGTGTTAAAATTTTACCAAAATGGTCACTTTTTAAAGATACAATGATAATTGAAATTACAGAGACTAAAATAGTATTTAAACGAAAAATGAACTTTAACATGTGACTTCTATGTTAAATGCAGGTTAAGAGTAAAGGAGAAGGCCGTGTTAACTGACGTGTACTCAAGATATGGAAATAAATCAGCAGCTTTGGTTTCAAAAGAAGGGAACTAACTGGCTGGAGTGAATTAAGAATGTAAGACCTTAACCAGAAACTGATAGGAGATGTGATTGCAATTGCATAAACATGATTTTCTGGGTGATTATTCCAATCAAATTTGTTCAGTCAGAGCTCCCTATGGGCTTCTTTTATGGAGTAGGGTGCTAATATTTTGGTCAAGTTCCAACTTCTAGCTCATCCCCTTGCCAAATTCATGGTTCATTGACTGTAATAGTATCTAATGTAGGGCCTAATTCATTTGTTCAATTTGGTTTTTCTCATTTTATGTGCCGCAGCAGATCAGTGGATGCAGACGAAGGACACATCGACAGTCGCGTCTCTCGCCCCGTCTCGTGTATTGACGATTTGAAGACAAATTCTGGTAAATAATGAGAATTAACGGGTTAAACTAGTTGGAATGAAGTGACTTTTGTCTAGGAAGCAATGTGGAGCTGGTAGAGACATTACTGGAGTTCACCACAATGTGACTGACATTACTTCTCCGTTAGATTTATGAGAAAAATCGAAAAAATACCTTAAATGTATATCCAGTGGTTGGTTGGTAGGGAGACGAAGATTTTCGAATCAGCGTCTAGTGGTTATCAAGGGACAGCGACACTGCGGTAGCTTCATTCAATAATTTTTTGGAGTTGGTAATAGTTCAAGTGTTTCTCTAGTTCATTGGTTGGGTTAATGGATGTTTTTACTTTAGTTTGTAAAATTAATTTTACCATCCAAGTAAATCCTACAAATCCATTTCCATTCCTACTTTATGTAGGCAAAGGTTCATAGCAGTTGGCTGTAGTTTGACAACTTATTGCATTTTCTGTACAACTAACAACTTCAGTTGATTATAAACTCTCTAAACAAGTTAAAATTATACATTTTAATCCGGAGACTTTATATTGGGGGGGAAAAAAATAGAGGCAAAAGAACCACTAAAGCTTGTACCTACGAGGATTAGTGAATGTAAAAAGCCACAAAAGTTACAAATGCTTTACTTTTCTTTGTAGACTTCACCTATTGTAACATAGGTCTAAAACAATGGAGAAGTTCAAAAAATATAATACTAAAGTTGATATCTAATTTGGTAAACCTACTAATGCACACAGTCAGTGAGATTGTATCCCAAAAAAGAACTTGTTAGATAGGATTATGCCAATAATGAGTTGTTGGGATTTATGTCTTAAAACCTCGTAATGAATTATTTTAAACTGAAATAAGTATTATTCATTATTCACTACTATAATCTTGAACAATATGTAGTTAACATATAAGAGGATCGAGTACTAACCTAAAGGCTCTATAGTATATGGATGAGCTTGGGTGTCTTGTAAAAGTTATAAATGTTTTAATTTTAATTGTTCATGTAGAGATATGCGAGTGGGTCGCATGCATATACAATAAGTTTGTATAAGATTGAACTGTGATGTGACTTGTAGTTTCTTATAAAATCGTTACGGAAGTGCAAACGCTGGTAGGATGATTATTGCTCATTTAATCTTAATTGTGTGTGTATTATGAACTCTTGCTTGTGAATATGTTCTTTGATTCATATTGGTTAGAGTAATCATAGTATTCAAGCTCAATAAACTTACTGTTTTGGGAACATATCCAATTAGAGAACTGGCAACCTTCATGTATAAATATGGAGAGTGCTAGTTCGTAGAGGATATCCACCTTCTCAGTACCCATGAAGGATTTTTTCCATAGCCAGTGGGACTTGAAGAACAAGATATAGAACTTGGGGCAAAATAATATTTTCTTATATTTGGAATCATAGGTTACTTTGTAAATGATTGTTGAGCAGTTATTATTATATCGGTGGATATAACTCATCTACACGATAGGAGAGTTCTTGGGTTAATAACAAGAGTTACCTTAGATTAATGGTAAAATTGATTAATAAATTAGTTTAATTAATCAATGTTCTATTATTCAAGCTCAAAGTTGTAGGTTTATAAGATCTCCTGCTCGTTCATTGACCTCTGTACGAAGCATGCGGGTGAGAGAAAATTAAATAATGTTTATTATTTGATTTATAATTAAATTATTTAACTGAAATATTAATGAATTGAATTTATTAGGGGTAGAAACAAATACAGTCATTTAATATAAGCCATTTCAAAAAATCGACAAACAACTTGTCGTTTTTACAAATGGTCAACCTAAAAATAGGAAGATCTCTACTAACTTTTTAGGTATGAGATTAGGGCCCTCATTTTAAAATGAATATATTATTTTTTCTTTTTTAGTAGAATCCTACCTACATTTTTTTCGATAATTCAAATATTTTGATAATCTTACCTATATTTTTTAATTCAACTATTTTTCCAACGAATTTTTAAAATAATGATAATAATAAATCTAAGAAAAAAATATTAATTAAATAAACATAAAAAACAAAATTTAAACAAGAAAATAATTATTGAAAAGTATACTAAAAATACAAGATTTAATCAATAAAATCATTATTGAAAATGATACTAAAAAATCTTAAAGAATATATAATAAACTTTAATAAACAAAATGTAACTAGAAATAGAAATACTAAGATCCAAGATGGAAACAAATAGATGAACATATACCAAATACGGTGAACAGATGAATAAATACAGTGAACAAATTAACAAATACAGTGAAAAATGAACAAATACGGTGAATAGATGAAAAAATATGGTAAATATGTGAACATATAAGGTGTATTTTTGTGACACAATTAATACAAAAATATAAAAAAAATTCTACCTCAAACCAAAAATGTACACAATCTGTAGGAACTTAAGTATATACTATTGGTCTCTCTCTCCTTTACCCTGCGTCACTCGCCGCCCCACCTGCAACCAGCTTTGTTGTCCACCATGTTGCTCCATCGTTGTCTCATTTGCTCACTTCCGTTTATTCCCTGATGTCTCCCTCACTTGATTTCTGTCTCGCTCACGATACCTTCATACCTTTAGTCTCCTCTCTCTCCCTTCATTGACTCGGCTTCGATCGTTTCCCTTAGTGTGTTGTCTCCTCAAAGATGGTGACTAGTTTATAGATTTGCATCACCAAAACTGTCTCCCTCTCGATTTTAGTCTCCTCCCTCCGCTTTCGACTTTGATCCTGTCTCACTTGGTGCGCTGTCTCTTCTGTGAGTTATATGTTTATCCATGTAATATATATATATATATATATATATATATATATATATATATATATATATATTTATTTATTTATTAAGAAGTGAGGCAGATGGTGACCTTTGAGAGAAAATATAGCAACAAAAATAAGGAGAGATAATGTTACCAGAAACAAATTTGAGAATTTAAACGAGAGAGTATTATTTTGATTTTGAAAATACTAACGAAATAGAAAGGATAAGATGATCAAAACCAAACTTGTAAGATATCAGTTAAAATACAAATGACCAATTTTCAAAACAGGAGTGATAGATATGGACACTTTTATCATAAATTCTCAAAAGACTCTTTTGGGTTTTGAAAACCTAATGGGTATGATTCAGTGTCATGATTCATAAAAAAGTGGGAAAATTGACAAAATAAACATTGCATAGGACCCTTTTAAGTTTTTTAATCATCCTTTTCAAAACATAAGTTTTATAGGCATTTGCTGACATCACCTTCACACCAAATGACCCTCACTACCCTTCCACTAATATTTTAGACTTCCCTCCTTATTTCCTCTCTCTACCTCCATCTCCCTCTTTTTCCAGATTTTTTTTCATTATTCTTTTTTCCTCTTCAAAATTTTTTTCTCATTCTCTCTAAAATTTTCTTGGAGTTCTTTTTCCTTCTTCCATCTTTTTGTATTTTTTCTAATTACTATTATTCCCTTTCTTCTGACCACAAAAAGCAATTTACTTAAAAAAAAACCCTAAATCTCTCAGCTTTTCTTTTTTAAAACCAGCAGCCTCCATGGTTCCCGTGACTTCGCTGACGACAGCTGCATGAAAGCCGACGAAGGAGGTCATTTGTCGAAGAAAGAAGCTCAGTGGAAGAGGAATGAGGGAGGAGATAGAGAGAGAGAGCGAGGGTGAGCGAGAGAGAGAGAGCGAGGGTGAGCGAGAGAGAAAGAGCGAGGGTGAGGGTGAGTGAGAGAGAATTGAGGGAATCTAAAAATAATATTTTTAATGAGATTGTTTTTTATAGTATCTAAAAATTAATTTTGAATTAATGTTTATCAAATCAAATTAATTTTGAGAAAAACGAAATCTCAATATTAATTCAAATTGTTTCCCGAAATCTCTCATCAATCTCCTTAAATCTAGTTTTAATTATAATTGAATTTCAAATCCCCCAATTTTGCTTTCCCATCTTTCATTCCTAATTTAAATTTTAATCAAATGTATCAATTTAAAATCTAATTAAAAAAGAGATTTTGGGAAACAAATTTGAATTAAATTTCAAATTTCAATACTTTCTTTTAATTTTGTAATTAGATTTTAAATTGATATTTTCATTTGATTAAATTTTAAATTAGGAATGAAAGAGATGAAAGCAAAATGAGGGGTTTTAATTCAATCCTAATTAAAACTACGTTGAGAGATTTAATCAGATTGAGAATAGATTTCGGGAAACAAATTTGAATTAATATTGAGATAGTATTTTTTGATTCCCTCAATTCTCGCTCAACCTCGCTCTCTCTCGCTCAACCTCACTCTCTCTCGCTCAACCTCGCTCCCTCTCGCTCCCCCATTCCTCTTCCACTGATCTTCTTTCTTTGACAAACGACCTCCTTCATCGGCTTTGATGCATCCATCGTCAGCGATTGCTAAAAGTCACGGGAATCATGGAGGAAAAAAAATTACTTTTTGTGGTGAGTAAAGAAGAAAGAGAATAATAGTAATAGAAAAAATAGAGAAGGAGGGAAGATGAAAAAGAGAAACTCCAAGAAAATTTTAGGGAGAATGAGAAAAAAAAATTACGATAAAAAAACAGAGAGGAGGAAAAAAAAATTTCTATAATTAAATTTGAGCCAAATAAGCTAATTAGGATTTTGGTAAAAATCTATATATATATATATATATATAAGTAGGACTTATAGTGAGCAATGAAACAATTCTAATCTAAGAAATAGACTCTCTCACACTCTCCTATCATGTTGCTGTAGGAAGAAGCAGATGCCCACACAGGTTCGTCGTAAATTGAGGATAGATGGGAAGATCTCGGGGAGTCAACTAACTCGTCATGGTAGAGAAGAAAAATGGCGCACGGACTGTACTCGAGCTTCGGATCAAGGTCCCATAAGCCATCTAAAAGGTAAGACAGTCAGTCAT